ATTGAATACATTTTTCTAAGTGTTTGATCTTTGTTATTAATAATAATTATAACAAACTAGTGGAGTCATTTCACAAAAAAATAATTGAATATCATTCTTAGAATCTCACGATTATGACGGTATAGAAAAATTATTACAAATTGTCACCTAACACATAAATTCGAAATCGCTAGTACACAGTATCACACATAATTTTCACAAATAAAATTGCACTCCAACTTGATACAGCATGCACACACACACGCGCGCGCCCACACACACACACGCGCGCGCCCACACACACACACACGCGCGCGCGCGCGCGCCCACACACACACACACACACGCACGCACGCACGCACGCGTTTGTGTGTGTGTGTATGTGTGTGTGTATTATTATATATTATTCCAATGTATTAAAACGAATTTAACAACAGTTAATTTTTATTTTGCTTATTTTGAAACCGTTTAAGTACACGTATTCTTTTTAACCGACTTCAAAAAAAGGAGGAGGTTCTCAAATTGACTGTACGTACGTTTTTTGTATGTATGTTACGCGATAATTTTTATAAGATAAGATTTTGATGATTCTTTTTGTGTTGGAAAGAGGGTACCTTCATAATTTTGAAGAAAATCATCCACCTTTAAGGGTAGCTGTTCACGCTTGAAGGTTTATTTTTATGAATAGCGCCTAAATTTTATTATAAGGAGCAATTATTTTAATGGTTGATTTTGCTATTTTCCAATTCAAGGCGTTTTTCTCTCTCAATATACTTTGAGTAGGGAGAACCGATTTTTATTATCTCCAGTGTCAAGTCCCGTACAGTGGCGAACTAGGGGATGAATCCGGGTTGGCGCACTTTCCGATAACGGATTTCAATAAAACTTGGTAATTATATGTAATTCCACGTACTTTTTAGGTCGGTTTTTTTAGTACTCTGTACTGAGATTATGTCATATGCTTTTGTAATTGTATGAGTATACGTGTCTTATGCCTATCATTCTTACATATGCTTAGAGGTATAAGGGTGAGAGCCTGGAGCTCTATAACACAGGTTAATCCCAGTATGGACATCAGACTTTCACAAACGAAACTAAATTCAAGAACATGTGACGACCATAGGCATATATAAATATAAGTTTCTTTTGTGAAAGTTAATAAAGACATTTTAATTTCATTTCATAAACATAATGAATATTTAGGACATTATTGAACATTAAAATCTGCCTATGCCTTAGGTTTTCGGTCTCTTTTTGTATTTATTCTAAAGTCTATATGCTTGCTCGTAGCTCTTGAACAAAAGGTAATGTTGTTTTTGTGGTATTCAGGTATGGCAGATCCCGGACGGCGGTCTTTCGCGCACCTTGACCGACCCGGTGGTAGACCTGGTGTTCCATCAGCGGCGCGTGGGGCTAGTGCTATGGCACCCCACGGCGCAAAACGTGCTGCTCACCGCCGGATCCGACAATCAGGTACGTCAAGGTCAAAGTGGCTTAAATAGAAAAGTAGCATTTTTTAAATACTGGCAAAATAAATAAAGAAAATGTTATATAGTAAAAGTAATATGCGCTAGACTATAGCAAATATAATTTAGTCATATTTGCCATTTGACTGGAGTACTTACTATTACTTACTTACTTACTACGTATAGTCCCACTACAGCACACAGGGTTCCTCTCACGATGAGGGCTTGGGCTGTTGTTTTCAATGTGTGTGCAGGTTTCTTCGTGATATTTCCCTTCACCGAATAGCTCGTGGAAAATTACTTTTCTATAATTACGCAAGTCGGAGGAGTCGTGGGCGAAAGCAACCACAGAATGGATCCCTAAAGACAGTAAACGATCACGCGGCAGACCAAATCGTGGATGGAGAGACGAGCTAAACGCGCACCTAAAAGACTAATGTCCACTTGCACTAAACCTAGGTACGTCGTAAACCAGTAATTGCAATGCAAAAGACACTCTTAATACATTGTGTTAAGAGAGTCTTATCAATTTAAGCATTGGTTTAAGACATACTTGAATTTAGTGCAAGTGGGCATAAACCTCTGTGGCGCAAAATAGAGAGATGTGGAGGGAGGCCTTTGCCCAGCAGTGCAACAGTATAGGCTTTAAAACATATATATTAATTACGCCTCTTTATTATAGAAGATGTGAAATATGCCACAACTTAAAGGCTCTTTTGTAGTGTTTTTGACGGCAGGAACTTTTTTTGTGCCTAAGTCATTGACTTACAATAAATGGACGACCGGTCTAATACAAAAACCACGAAAAAAATGTCCCAAGTCAACCTATTTAAACGTAGTGATATGTAAAGGAATATGAAAAAGCTAAAACGTTGAATTAAAATTGTAATGTCATCGCAGTACTGTCTAATTTTGCTTGCTTCGCTTTCAGTCGAACAAACGAAGACTAAAGCGTGAATGACGCTCTGTATACGATTTTAACGCACTATAAGTTCGGACACTTTTTAGCGCGGACCCGACGTCCATATAATTGTAAGTCAATGGCCTAAGTAGACTCTACAACAGAGAACAAAAAAGTAACGAGAACGGATACTCTCCTTCCCTCCCTAGCTTTAGATACCGCACCACGCCCTGCGCATTGACGGTCACATTGACTGAAGCCCAATAGGGCTGTCGGCGAGCCGTTTTCGCGCTGAGACGGCTTTGATATTTGAACATAGTTTTCATTTATTCATTACGAAACTTGTACTTTAATATATAACATCATTTTACGTTACTATTTTATAATGGTTGTGAATTGTGCAGAAGTAAGTAAATAAAATTGTCTGAGACTCATTCAGTTATTGTTTTCTTGATTTATTTAGTGCAGAGTAATATATAATACAAATTTATTATGTCAATATAATGGGACGCCATAACTTCGCGAGCTAGTAGACAAGGGTTATCGAATTTTCAATTTGTATTGCCGATAAGTATTACGTATTGAATATACCTGAACTAGGTAATGATAAACTGGGACACGCAATTTCAAATACCTTAGTTACCTTATATAAGCGTAATTTCTGTCCAAAATATAACATTTAAGTGCCTTTAATATATTTTTTAATAAATCTTCAATATTATTCTAGTTAGTGAATTAATGAAAAATGTAATATTATGTCGATATAAATACGTAATGAACGTGTGTAATTATTAGGATTCTATTAAAAGAATTATAGATAACAGATTCGCGTTATAATTTTCACTATGTTGCGGCTCTGACCACGTAACGTAATAGTACGAGAAGTGATAGATAACCCTGCCACTTCACGCACACATTTTCGTGTGTGCAGATAGCTTTGCTGTATGTAGTAGTAGTAGGTAACTAACTTTCGACCGTTGTATGGAGTGTCCGGGGTGTACTCTACAACAGGAAAAGCCAATGCACCAGTGGCTAAAAGTATGGTCTCACGACCTTCACGCATCTCTGTGCGATTTCAAGAATATACCAACTGAAGTGACATAATTTGTGTCCACAGATGGCAATATGGAATGTAGGTACCGGCGAAGTGTTAATAACACTGGACTGCCACCCCGACCTGATCTACTCCGCGTGCTGGAACTGGACGGGCACCAAGCTGCTGACGACGTGTCGCGACAAGAAGATCCGCATCATCGACCCTCGGAAGGGGGAGGTCGAGGCGGAGGCCATCGCTCACGAAGGCAGCAAAGCTAGCCGAGCCATCTTCTTGAAACATGGACTCGTATTTACAACCGGGTAATTATCGTATCGATTCAGGTCTCTGGCGGTAGACGACTTTTTCAAATTGAGTATGGTATAGCTGATATGTGTTTGGTCTTCTAATAATAATTTGGTTAAATTTGACCAACTTCTGCTGGCCCGATTTTTTCATCCCATACAATATATAACCTTTCATGAAATTGAAGTCTTAAAAAAATTTTGCTCGTTTCTATTCAACAACTCTCGCTTGACCAAAAAATTGACTATGTCAAAATTGTTTTCACAAGAAAAGACTTAATGGCTCCTAAGACAATTTTCTTGTGTCTTCTATGATTTCAAATTTCCTCATACTGTCCCATTTAAAAAAAAATCTGTTTCGAAAATAACAACATGTTTTCGGATTTATTATGTTACTTGCTGTGCGTGATGGAGGAAGGTACCGATACTCGTAAAGACGCTGGATGAATGAATGAAAGAATTTATTTATAAATTGTTGACCAATATAAATACGTAACTGCGAAGAAAGTTCTATAGGTGAGAGGTAAAGAGCCTTAAAATGAGTCAAATAAAATGTGTTAAACAGAAAACAAACGACGTCAGGACATAATGTCTTTTATCAATGCGTGCTTTTTAGCATTCTATAGCAATGTTCGCACCCCTCATGGAAGAATGGCTTAAGTGGAGTTACGTCAAACATGTTTAGTGCTCCATTAGATACCCACATCCACTCCAATTCTTGTAACTCTATCGACTAGACATTTGGTTCGTTTGTGAAAACATCTCAATTCCAAAATAAGGACTTATGGTCCAAACGAGGTGAGAGACCTACAGAGTTGACATATCGGAGTATCGCTCGATTCGCTGGTGACGTAGTAACATTGTCGGCGGCTGCCGTGCACAGGTTCAGCCGCATGTCGGAGCGGCAGTACACGCTGCGCACGCCCGACGCGCTGAACGAGCCCATCGTCACGGTGGAGATCGACACCAGCAACGGCGTCATGTTCCCGCTCTACGACCCCGACACCAACCTCATCTTCCTCTGCGGGAAGGGGGACTCCGTCATCAGATACTTCGAGGTACACTGCACACCTTTTTAATTAACCGTATTCAAAAAATAAGGAGGTTTTCAATTCGAAAATACCGATTTCAATAAAACTTGACAAATAGATGTAATTCCACGAATTTTTGAGGTTTTTTTAGTATAGTTGGCGAAATATTATTTGAACCGATTCACCTTATCGCTTCATCTTTAGAATACATCGAGTATATAACCAGAAATAGAGACCAAATGTCATTTAATTTGTTTGAAAACTGTTCTGCCATATCATTACTGTGACAACTACGCTCTGATTGGCTAGCCCGAGTTCGAAACAATTGACGGGTGTCGTCAACTGTGTCACTTCAAATCGACCAGTTAACTTGAGCTTTGCTATAATGGACGAAAATTGCAAAAATACATGTTTAATATTTAATTACCGAAGAAATGTGATTCCGATTGTTTTGTAATTAGATGTTTTTGCTGTTTTTCTCACACCACCGAATAGAACAGCACGGCATTGAAAGATATTATCTTTATTACAATAAATACAGAATATTTTTTGGAATATACAGAGAAGTACACACAGGTCAATAGTTGGCCTGTCCATATTTCAGTGCAAACGAGAGTTGATATTTATAAGAGCTGTATCGCTAATGTGTTACCAGGAATATATGGCCCTTATTTCGTCTCTGTTTCTGGTTATATACTCGATGTTAGAATACAATACGATAAATGAATGAGCGGTCTTAGTACTCCACGTGCCACCTGCATAGTGCAAACAACGAGTTTAAACATTTTTCCGCATTGGCACTTAATTCTAAACTTTATAATCTTTATGCGGGAGCTAACTTTGTGGAATTAATATTGACGGGGCCAAAATGGGGTAGTGTGAACGCACTGAGTGACTTTGAGTTCTTCCCTCGATAGATGTGCCGGTCCCCGGTGTTTATGCGTATGCCCAGGTGTTAGGGGGTTGTCGCGCCTACCACTCTGGTCTCTCACAGACAGATGAGGTGCTACGATGATTTTCCGTATTGCCGTTGGATAACGCTACGGTGATAAAGTAAAGTAAAGTATTTATTGCTTCCATGTGTTACATAGGTCTTAAAATTTATATATAGTGTCAACATGACCCTGTTAGGGCGCCGCAGTTAAAAGTATAATAAGAAAATAAAAATAAAACATAAATGAAACATAATAAGAAGTTAACAATTTTTCTAAGACAACTTATATAACTAACAAAATGTAAAACTAGTAATTAAAACAGTAATTGAAAAGGTATTATATTAATTAATTATACTTCAAAAAACTCTTTTGAACTATAATAACATTTTTTAATCAAATGTGCTCTAAGCTGTTTATGAAATAAAATAGTCTGCGATTTGGATGAAATTGTATTGGGGAGTTATTGAAAATTTTAATTGCCATTACAAATGGTCCTGAGCTGTGCATATTTAATTTCGAGGTAGGTAGCGCAAGTCTATTTCCATGTCTGAGGTTCATCGGCTGAGTGTATGTGTCTTTTGCTCTGGTGATTAAGTGTATGTTATTGTTAACAAATTTGCATATTTCTAAAATGTATAATGATGGTACAGTTAAAATATTTAATTTAATGAAATGAAATGTGAAATGTTTAATGAAAAAAATGATATCGCGTCAAAAGCGATCGTTAGGAATGTCCTACCATCAAATCAGTGCGTTTTTTAGGATAGAAATAGAGGGGAAGGTAGTAGATAATTTGTGCATTTGCGAAGATGACGTATCAAATTTGACAAGTATGAATAGAGTCGACAAACGGTGTATTCCGAAGTACCTACAGTTTAAAAAAAACGACCTGATGAGTAAAGAAATAATTCAAAACTAGAATTCAGAAAAATTATTTAGCGCACCCAGGATTCGTACGATGGACCACGATCATTAAGTCCATGTACACTTTAAGTAAAAGAAGTGTTAATGGTTTTATTACCCTATTGTACTACTTACTTGATACTTGGTGTAACGGGCTGTTGTCCGCAACAACAGCAACAACCCTATTGTAATAGAAAGGATTCGTTCCAAGAGATAACATTCATCCGTGCAAATAATATTTCGCTTTATTATTTTTGAATAATTGAGATTGATTTAACTATAAATGTAAATTGATTTTTTATACCATACTCGTGTTAGAAAAAGACAAAGCGACTTTCTTACGTAAAGATAAACCTGTCTCTTACATTTCTTCGCAAAAATCGACAATTCACACTGAAATTGTTTTGTTTTGCCGCAGGTGACACCAGAGCCGCCTTTCGTCCATTATATCAACACCTTCCAAACGCCAGACCCTCAGAGAGGTGAACGACAATTTCCCACAGCGTCTGTCTGCGCATTTTTTTGATTGATTGAAGGATTATTCATTAATAATTATATGTTTTTGCCTGAACAGGTATTGGTATGATGCCGAAGCGAGGGTGCGACGTGGCGACCTGCGAAATTGCAAAATTCTACCGGCTCAACAACTCTGGACTTTGTCAGGTAAAGACATTCAGTATCTTCAATCATTTGTTTGTTCAATTCGACTGTATTTTTTTTTTGTGTATGTGAATCGATTTTGATGATTTTTATTTGTTGGAAAGAGCCTCAGTGTTGGCCCCATTTAAATTCGAAAAAAATATTCCATCTCCAAGGGTGGCCAACTAGGCGATGAATCCGGTATCGCGCACTTTCCGGTAACCGATTTCAATAAAACTAGGTAAATAGACGTAATTCCACGGACTTTTGAGGTCGCCTTTTTTTTAACAGTGTCATACAAAGAAAAGATATTTCTTTGGTCTCGTTAGAAAAAATAAAATAAACTACATTGAAGCTGAAACTAAGTATACAGAGAACCAAATAGGTCACTACTCAGCATATGTTGGGCTGCTAGGAAAACAGACCGGCGCTGATATTCTGTGGCCACCATGAACCAGATGTCCCTCACTCGGCTAGGGTCCATTAAAAACCAGCGTCACAGCCTATTCTCGGCTGTGACCTTAGTCGAATGATATCCTTTTGCATATACCACAGCCGCACACATGTCAATATAGCATAATGTAATAGAGTATAACTTGTTATTGAAATGTTCACAATGCTGTTTTTTTGTGTTATTTTTGTTTTTAGAATATTATTTCGAATATCGTACATAGAAACAACCTGAAAGTGTAAACTGTCCACTATTATGGTTTTTTGTCATCTACGTACGTAAAAGCTGCATAATAAACTGTAAAAGAAAGCTTTTTGTTTCACAATAGTTAATAATATAAATCCTGTAAACAGAAATTATTATAGAAACTTATTCATTGCTCTTTAAATGAATTCGTGACTTTTTAAAGACGACTGTCAAGAACAACCAGTTTATTCCTCAATATTAAAGTTGTTTACACACTGTCGCCACGCCTAAGATTCAATCATAATGTAAATTACGTATGCGACATTCTTTCTATCACAACAACCTTTATATAGAGTATCTTTCTTCATGTACACTTCTTCTAACTGCATTCTACTTTAAAGGACTACTATAATTTGTCCTAACAGGTCCTTGACCTCATATGCATCCTCCGGATCTGATCTAGTGGGATCCTCTGATCCCTATGATGGGCCTCCATACACACTCCTACAGCCCTTCCTCTGCCACCGCTTCATGCCCCTTGTACCTTCAGTACAAGGTCGGTCGGTCTCATTCTAATTCTGTTACTGATTCGTCATACTCTATCTTTAGGCTGTCTAGTCAACAAATACTGTATCTACGTTAGTAATAAGTATTGTGCAAACTTACCACCTGTAGTGCCGACCAACCAGTGCATTCCCAGCAGATGCTTGATATCTCACCTTCATTTGAGATGCCTGTACTGCCGTGTTAGTTCCTTACTCTTAGGTATCATAACATACTAAATTTATTAACGCTTGATATTACAAAACATATACTAAATCGCGACACACACGAAGACACGACGTGACTAGAGAATTGAGTTTGAGAAAGTTACAACGTTACGACACGAAATTTGTGACGTGCGATGGGCTCTATTCTCGTGTATTTAGAGTATGTTCGTTAGGTGGTGTCAATGACGGTGCCGCGCAAGTCGGAGCTGTTCCAAGAGGACCTGTACCCGGACACGCTGAGCGACGAGGCGGCGCTCACGGCCGACGAGTGGCTGGCCGGGGAGGACGCCGAACCCTGCACCATGTCGCTCAAGGTACGCTGGCCGCCCGCAACGAGGCACGCGCCGCCAGATTCGCCGGAGCCGGGAAATCTGGAACATACAGGCGTCGTACAAGGCAGCCTTTACGGTTCTTCTCATATTACCTGAGCCCCACGCTAAGGCGGGAGAACTAAAAATCCAGAACGCTCCATCCTAATGCCAACGATATAACTACCCATTCGTTCGAAGCGATTCGCTTCAAAGTACCTGACGCGTACGGCAAAGAAAAGCGCTATTGAGAAAATACAGTTTTTGAGTTCAAAAAAAAAATCGAGAGGCAGCGTCCGTTGCCTCAACGTGGCTACTGCTCTTACCGACGGAGCTGCAGATCGAGTCAACAGATCTTACGACTTTCTCATTTTTTGCTGCAGATCATTGTTTTGGCTATTTAGATAATGGCTATTTTGCCATAAACGAAAATATCGCATTTTCAAATTTAAACTCATTGTAATTTTTAAGTTATTAAATGCCACGATGTTTAACCACCATGATATTCAATAATTGTTGTGAAATTACTCCACTAGTTTGTAATTACTAATACAAAAATCGAACACACCAAAAATTCCTTCGATCCGGCTGTATTCGAACCAACGTCCTTCAGCAAACCGTGTCAGACGCTATGCCAACTACGCCACGGAGCGAACTAGCGAACCTTACGAATTTTAATGACTTTTTTGCCGTTACGCCAACTGTGTGAAATCTATTTCTTCACTCAGCCAGATGGCCTACCATAACCTTTGCAAAAACAATCTTATTTCAATGTAAGCTTATTATAATATTACTCATATTCGTACCATGACAAACCTGTCAACCAACTAATGTATTATTGCTAAAGTGAATGAAAGAACGAATGATTTCCCAATATTGTTCATTCCTTACTAAAAATAGGAAAGAAATAACGCTATATGAACTGTATAATGCCATCTCTTTCTTTTTTGATGTTCCGAATTGTCTTATCGTAGTATAAATGTTTAAGTACTTAATATTATTTACATTGAGAGAATTTTAACTGCCAAAAAAAGAAATGTATGTAATAATGAAATCTATTTTTAATATCGTTATTTCCAATTGTTGTGAATTTGGAATTATAGTCTAGTGTCAACTGTTAGTATCGCCGAGGAGCATATAGACGTCGCTGTCATAATTTTACGAAATAAACAGCGCGTATTTTTATTTAACGAAATATTTGTTCCTATGTACTATTAAATAAAAAATAAACATGAAATTGAAGAGATATGTATGTAAATAAAGAAGTTCAACTTAACTTTTAATAATTACAAATCAATATTAAGACAATAAAACTGAAAATAATATTGTTTCCATTGCATCCGTGTAACTTTTTTAAGATTGCTAAATTTGTCATAAGAACAATATTACTTTAATGTTAAAGTCGCGTCATATTACGAACTGAGTGAATGAATAGTCGCAAAGCTGCCAATATAATAATAAGCTTACTTTAAGCGCGTCATGGTACGAAAAGTCAATGTAAAGTTAAAGTAATATTGTGTTAAGAGGTTATGGTAGGCCCCCAGGTACCTTTACAGCTACCAGCCGCTGCTAGAGATGTCGCTTTAACAATTGTAATTTTTAAGTTATTGAATGTCACAGTGTTTGACCACTACGATATTCAATTATTTTTGTGACATTACTATCACTAGTTATTTGGTATAGCGTCTGGCACGGTTTGCTGTAAGACGTTGGTTCGAATCCAGAAGTGTTCGATCTTTGTATTAATAATTTAAACTTATTGCCATAAACTTTAATGACTATCTCCCAAAAGTTGTTTTTTTAGTGGCAGTATTGATTTCAACATGCGATATATATATGTTGTTTTCATATCAATAGAATTTAGTCAAATTTGACGCCAACCAAAAGGCGTCATTGGCTGATGCTACGAAATTAAGCTTTTTAATTTACTTTTCGTCCCTTTATAATTGATTGTACGAATTCATCTATCTCTTCATCCACTGTTGCCATTATCACACAAGATAATGGATAT